ACAACAATCCGGTTCCTCATTTTACCCACCTCGGAAGGATGGAAGGCTGAGTCAACCTTGAGCCTAGTGGGATTTGAACAGCCGAACTGCTGAACTGCAGTCAGCTGAAGTAGCCTGCAGTGTTGCATTTAACCACTGCGCCACCTCGGCTCACCTCAGTTGAAGGAAAACGGTGGCTGTTTCTTAGAGAAAAAAGTTTGGTCCTTTCCCTGTGCCTGTGGAATTGCTTTGTGCAACTTACTAGAGAAGTCCCACCACTGGATTTGAAATTTATTTTTAAATAACCATGCACAGAATTTAATCCATGATTAAGCACAGCTGGTGTGTCTGTGTATTAAAAAGTTGTTTAAAATTAAAAATTAATAGAATTCAAAGCAAATTCAATTTTTTAAAAAATATGTCTAGGAAATATGGTTTCTATTTCTGATGGATCTATTTCAAGTGTTGATAACAGAGGGTCATCTATTATATAGTATAGTATAGTATATGTGCCTTCCATATTGCAGGTCTCTGAAGAAGAATGGGTGGTTAAAAAATGTGATAAATTGTCTTTGTACATTACAGCTAATTTGCACTTTCTTTTCTCCAAATGCAGCTGATATTTACTAAGCTAAATGGCTAATAAGATGACATTCCTTCCTATTTTTCCAATGTACACATTTGTATGAATAAAGTGTTATCACAGAAGCATATTTATATTTTCTGGGTTCTAATCACTAAATATCATGAATGAAAAATAGAGCAAGGTATTTTCAAAAGAAAAATTAGTAATTTCTTACACATTTTCTTACATATTCATAATCATTTGTTGAACAGCTTGGAGGAAATTATTGCAGCCAAACCAAACAAAACACCGATTCAGCTGTTGCTTGAATATGGCACAAAAGCTCACCTTAATCCTGAATATGAATTTGAAAAAGCTGAGGGAGAAGTACACATGCCCATTTTCACCTATAAAGTCACCATAGGTGACATCGTTGCAACAGGTTTGTGAACATGTAATGTATTAAAATGCCTTTCTTTAATTCATTGCATGTAATATTTGTTTCTTTGAAAAAGAATGAAGTGTTTCTTCTGTTTAGTATATTGCCCTCCACATAACTTGTGGCTCCCAGTGAGTCCGAAATAACAGATGTTACTGAATTTCAGCCATGGAATTTGTCAGAGTTTGTTGCAAAAATTAAATCTAGAAGCACACACTGATGCAGCAGGATTCCTTAGCTTCTTTATATACATAAGAATATATGAATAAATGTACAATACCATCAGGTGGTTCTTCCAAGCAAACACAAGGCAGGAGAGTTTCAGGCAAACACAAGCAGTTAGTTTCAGCAGACAAGCCCAGACAGACTGCTAATTTTACTTCTCAGAGCAGCAGACTACTTTCTTTTTAAGTTTCTGTTTCACTTCTCTGCACAGGCTCAGATCTGTTTAAGCTCCCACTGGCTGATTTAGTTGCTATGTCCATTCATTGGCTGACCTTGTTCCCATATATCACCCAGTCATGAATATTCTAACAGAATTGCCCTTGCTGGCTGGAATTAGTAAAAGTTGTGCTTTAGCAAAATTTAAAGAGCCACATGTTGTGCAGCTATGAAAGCAAAGAGAATGGTTCAGGATTAGGGTTTCAAAATGGGTGGCGGTTAAAATGCTTCAATGTTTATACAGTGTTTCTATTGTATCATTTTTGTTGGGGGGAAAAATAAGGTTACCATTCTCTTTGTTCTTAAGGAAGCAGATAACATTTATATGGGAAAAAACCAGGGTAGACAGTAAATGTTTACATTTGGAGATAACGTTGGAGATAGGAATTGGACTTAGAGAAAATATGTCAGTATGGAGCAAAGAACGGTTCCACCACAAAACCGCGGTAGACAAAAGCGCGCTCGACGAAAGCGCGTACGTGACGTCATCACAGCGCAACGAAAACATCCCGTAATTTTTAATTTTTTTCATCGCGCTGTGATGACGTCACGTACGCGCTTTCGTCGAGCGCGCTTTTGTCTACCGCGGTTTTGTGGTGGAACCGTTCTTTGCTCCATACTGACATATTTTCTCTAAGTCCAATTCCTATCTCCAACGTTATCTCCAAATGTAAACATTTACCGTCTACCCTGGTTTTTTCCCATATAAATGTTATCTGCTTCCTTAAGAACAAAGAGAATGGTAACCTTATTTTTCCCCCCAACAAAAATGATACAATATAAACACTGTATAAACATTGAAGCATTTTAACCGCCACCCATTTTGAAACCCTAATCCTGAACCATTCTCTTTGTTCTTAAGGAAG